GATTTTTAAGAAACATTTAGACAACCATTTCCTGAAATGGTATAGAGTTTCCAGCTTAAAGAGAGGGTAGGACTAGAAGACCTCCAAGATCCCTTCCATCCCTGTTATTCTGATTTTCATCTTTAAAGTTCTACATGGTAAAGGGCTAGATTATCTGCAGGACTGCCTCTTCTTGCCCATCTCACTAAGTATCATTGGGTACCGACTAAGTGAAACTTGGACCAGAAGACCTCCAAGGTTCTTTCCAACGTTATTATTCTATGTTCTAAGTTAAGATAGGATGGGTATATTGTAGGACCCTTCCCCTATATATTATTGTCTGATGGGACCTCAGAGACACACCTTCACTGTAGCCAGCTCAGCCCTATGCAATAGTTTCTCACCTGAGATTCAAGGGGCTCCCCACCATTTTAGCCATTAGAAGGCCTTAAAGACCTGGGTCTTCCCAAACATTGGCCTGGGGAGACAGTCGAGTCAGGAGGCTGATAATCTGATTGGTCTGGCATTTGGTGGGAAGGCTTCTTCTGTTTTTGTTGGTTTTGTGAGCCACCTAGCATCACTCTGTGAGATAGGCAGCCATATACAGTAAGTTCTTTAAATATAATAAAACATTTAAACTCATTTTATTTGCCACAGCAATATTTCACAATGCTATTTCCCATGTGAAAAAGAAGACCTTCCTTCCACCACCACCCATCTAATTATCTGAACTGATAGGGCATCTTACATTCACTGATAACTGAAAAAGAAAATCAAAGAAATGAGCAAGAGGTAGAAAAGGCTGCAAACTTAGCTGGGAAAATACAAATGCCTTTGAAGGTTAGACTGAGGGTAAGCTATTGATTCTGAGTTGGACTTATTGTTTTCCTGGAGAATTTAGCCCTCTTCCTATTGCTTACGTAGACTTCCCCACCCCTCCTCTGTCCAGTTTTCCTTGTCTTCATTTAGTTTTGTTCCCCTTTGTCTTCTCTTCCTTTTCTGGTGCTTTTGCTCCATTGTTACCTCATTTTCTTATGTTGTTGTCGTTATTTTTGCTGGAAAGTAGGTAATGTGCGCTTGTGTGAATGAGTATAGACAGTCTATGTAGGTGGGGATTCATTTTATAAAAGGGGTTTCTTATTCTGCTTTTGGGTGCCTTTGTATTTGTGTACACACAAGTGACATATGGAGACATTTATTGGAAAGGAGGAAATCTTTTCAATCAGTTTCAGCTGAAACTGACAACCCTAGCAGTCTTGTCTCTATAATTTTTGTTCCACTTGTACATCCTTGGGAGTGGAAGAGACCCATTTTAAATTCATTGTTAACCTTCTTTTCAATATATAATGGTAGTTCTTATAAATACTTGCAAAACTTAACATCAATTCTAAATTGAAACTCATATACTACAGTACATCTAGAAAAATGGAAGCAATATTGAAAATATATGGTAAAACATCTTTTGGAAATAAGACCAGAAAACAAGCCACACATGATTACATTAAACCTTTACCTAGCTCAGTTTTTTGTTCTCCCACAACTTTTTTGTTGTCCCATCTTTTTGTTCTCCCAATAACTACAACATCATACGTAGTTCAACAAGACACAATTTGAAGGGATATTTTAGTTAAAAGAAGAGAGAGGATAATAAGGACTGAGTTTGCCTTACCAAACCATCTATTTGAAATTTGCAAACACTTGCAAATGTGTATTAAATTGCATGTACATTTGAAATTCTTTGCTTTGTTTGTAATTACAACTATTATTATTCATAGGCTTTAAAAAATTAGTGTATTCTACTGTAACATAATTAAATTTTTAATCATTCTATTACCCCTATCCAAACCTTTGGGAGAGGTTTGTTCTCAATAAAACTATTCCTTGCACTTATACAAATGATTTAAGAATCTTAAACTTAAGAAAGGTATTACCTTCAAAAAGTGTAGTGTAAACCAAGAAACAAGATTTAAAAACTTTAAAGTTTCTGCAGTTTTCCAACTCAAAATGGGTCCTCTGATGTACCTATCTATATGTTTATATGACATCATAATTGAAAATAACTCTCAGTGAAAAAATGTACAACAGACAGATTATAATAAATAGACACCCTCAAAACAACAGTGATGAACAAATATAGAACTATGGTTAAGAAAAATAGCAAAAAGGTGGCAACCCAACTTAAGCATAGCAAAATAAACTCCAAAACCCATACTGAAAAAGTATACTACAATGGTCTTCCAAATCTATTTCAACTAGATTCCTGGGGCACAAATCCACTTATCTCAAATATATGAGTATTGACTCAAGTATACTATTTGTCATAGCAAAAGAATGCCTCCTATAAAGTGCTTATCATCGATTGAATCAACTGTAGGTCACCTACTTCCAACTGATAAAATCAGTTTAAAAAAAATTAGGACCTAGAGCAGAGGTGTCAAACTGCCGACCTGTGGGCCGGCTGCATCATACAGAGGCAGCGCCCACCCCAGCTCTGGCAATGCAAAAAAAATCATGATACGTCGCAACACATCACGTGACACAGTGAGTTTAACATCTGTGACCTAGAGAAAATGAAAACCCGAGATTTGAAAAACAGTACTTTCAATTAATCACAAATCAGTTTGTATAATATGGCATACAACTATTTTTACAGCCTATAAAATATACCCAGTCATCAAGTTAAGAAATTACTTCAATGTTTTTGAATTGATTGATTATATGCCTTCAAGTTGTTGTTGGCTCTTAGTGATCACACAGACAGACTTTTTCCCTGACAATCTGTCCCTAACCTGGTCTTTCACACGGTGCACATACTGGAATATTAGGCAAATGCAAATCCCAATTGTATTAAATTACTTCCTATCTAAAAAAGCGAGAAAATGTCCTATTGGATATTAGCACTCAGAAATGTTATTCCTAAAATGGAAATAGCAACACACATATCACATGCATGGCAATTTTAAAAATGTACATAATACCAGAGGCTAGTAAAAAATTGTATTATCACTACATTTTCAAACCAGAAATAAGGGATTCATGTGCTTCAGCATGGATGTTACTGTAAGTACTGTTGAGTAAGTAGTATTAAACTGCTTCACTGAAGAATTGTTTGCTACGTCAGAGATTTCTCACACACACACAGCACATAACATTCTCTCACTGCAGTTCAAATAATCAACCCCAGATGGCAATTTACATAGTCAACACTGTAAAGGAATCTGTGTGCTGCTGGCATTCTCAACCTCAATCAGAGAGTATGGGCGTTTGAGAATGTCACTGTTTATTTTTAATTGCTCTGTCCCTCCTTTCGGCAAGTTCAAGCGGTCACACACGTCGAAGTCTATTAGTAGAATAGGTATGAGATGCCACTTTATTTGCTGGGAGGGTTCCTTGCAGTTGGAAAGCAGCTGTTTTGTAATGTCCCCAATGCCCAGTGGGCATCAGCTGTCAATCTCAGTTAGCAAAAGGTCAGGGCAAAGAAAGGTCAAGGAATGTCATAATCCACAATGTATTATAAGATTTTTCTTTTCTATTGCTTTGTAGGATTGAGAATTGGTAAAACTTCCCACAGGTATCCTAGTTAAACACTTCATGAAATAGGTAACAGGAAAACAAATTTAATCTCCAATTGTAACTTCAACTGTCCATATTCATATATATGTGGAATGGGGAGATGCATGCTTACTTAAAATTACAGCTATGCTGAAGGCTGAATAATTGTGGCATTCTATCCAGCAATCATTCTCAGCTTAATTCTGAGGCTCAAATGCTTTGTCTTTATTGCTTTCTCAAAAGAGAAGACAGTTCTCTTCCATGGAGCATTTGGGCATTATGAAGGTATCTCTTTGGGTGAGGGAGAGAATTTGTTGTTGTCCCTTCCACATGACACTGTCTTTTGAGGTTTATTTTGAGTTGTTACGGTTTTTATATACTAAGCTGTTCAGAGTCATTGGAGTTGGGTGGCCTAAAATTTTGAAATACAAATAAATCAAGCTGCCTCTTTGGTCATTTTTTCTTGGATTTTTTTTTGGGGGGAGGGGAGGCTTTTTTACTTGGGTACTGTCTTTATTTTATGGAAAGTGGGAGGATTAATAGGTTTGGTATTTATGGTGGTTTTATATTTTTGATTCCTATAAAAGCTTTGCTTTATTTTGATGATGTAATATATAAATAAAATGATATTCCTATGTAATGAGCATAGTATACCCTGAAAGCATCACCATAAAAATATCTCTATTATGCATCGGTTGGCCAACTGAAAAGATTAAGTTGCTGTTAAAATGCAAGGATGGAACATTTAGATAAAACTGAATTCAATCACCAAGTCCAACTGGTTGGTAACTGAATTCAGATGGCTGCCAAACTCAACACTAAAAATAGACTTTTTCTGGATCTAGAAATTTCTTATTTCTCCTTTAATTTGATATTTTTTTCATTTACATGTCTTTGTTTGCTGGTCATTTTCTTCATTATAAGGCAAGAATATTATTATTTTTATGTCATAATAAGATTTTCTTGAATGTTTTTTTTATATCAACATTTATTCCAGGAAGGACCAAACTGGATTCTTGGACACTTTTGACTGCAGCCAAATATAGAGTTAATCTGTTGTTTTTTTATATTTCATTAAAATATCCTGAATTTGGTTTCTTCTCATTTTTCTTCACCAGTAAAATCAGATGAGATGTTTTCTCTATTTAAGTGCCTTGACCATTTGAGTTTCTTTCTCTTTTTAACTTTTTAATTTTTTTTTATCTTTTTTCTTTCTGGAGTCTCACCTTTTGAAGACTCAGCTTCAGGCATCCATTTTGTTTGCAAAGTATATAGTTTGTGAATTATGCCAATAGTAATATATTAAGAACTACACAATTCTGTATAGTATTCCCTAAAGGGTTTTTTAAAGTTCCTATTAAGCAAACCAAATGAAGTTAGTTAGGTAAATGGAATACTACAAGAACAGTAAACTTTCTGGACGTTTCTGTCTCTGATGAATATGTTAAAGCCAAAAATGATATACTCACCTTCAAAGCAGGAATTTCCACATTGTCCCCAATATTAACTGAGCCTGAAAGAATAGTTCCTGTCATCACAGTGCCTTGGCCCTTAATGGAAAAACAGTGGTCAATGGCCATAAGGAACGATCCTGAAGGATCTCTTGTTGGTATATAAGCCTCTGACTTTAGGACCTAAAAGCAAAAGAAAATGAGACCTGTATATTGACAAAATGTCACATAAGACACAAAGAAATGAAGAGAAAAGGTATGTGATTGATTTCACCACAGCATAGCTTTCTGTTGCAACAACACTGGAACAGTCCAAGGTCAGATAAATTGTTTGCACTGCCCAGGAGGTGCAGACATAGCAGCAGCAACAACTGGATTTGATTTTCTGCCTTAAAGTTTTGATACAGCGCAATCAGCCTGGTTAGCAAAATATATCACAGAAATGTTTCTGCCAACACGTATGCAAATACAGCGGCAATAATTATTTTTAATTCTGGGGATTAAGGATTAAGAAAGGATGCGTACTAGTTCTCAGAATGTACATACATAATTAAAAGGTCAAAATGCAGAATTTTTTTTTTACTCTCCTTTATTTTTACAACTTTGTTTAATAGAAAAATTATGGCAAGATTTTGAAGAACAATGAAGGCACACTGACAATTGAAGTTTCATTTTCCATTAGCTCTATCCAGAAATACATCACTACGAATAAGTAGCTGGAGAAGAAAAAAAGTTTCAGGAAGAAAGGGTGTGAGAAGCTCAAGATCAGTCAGTAGGACAGACATGTCAAACACAAGGCCTGGGGTCCGGATGCGGCCCGCGAAGTGGTTTCATGTGGCCTGCGAAGCCATCTGGAAACAGTGAGGGAACGACCTCTGCTGCCTTGGCCCTGGCCAGCCAGGAGCCAATGTACAATTTTGTGGTGGCCATCTATGCTGAAATGCATTCAGTCTTAGCTCCATTAGACCGTCTCGAAAAAGCGAGGAACCAGACCCTCCCGCATCAGCAGAAATGCACCATCACTTGGAAGTGGCCAGCAAATGGCCCTCGCCTACTTCACATAACCGGCTTGATAGGCTCCGGGGGACAGGTTTTGGCAGGCAGCGGGGCGCTTTCCTCACAGTGCCGAGAGGCTGAGCTGGGTGGTGTGAATCCAAAAAGAAGCATGATGCCGCCCAGCCCTCAGCCTGGCCAGTTTCAGCAGGCAGCGGGGCGCTCTCCTCACAGCGCCAAGAGCTGAGCCGAGTGGCGCAAAACTGATGAGAATGTTGCCTAGCCCCCAGCCTGCCCAGTTTCAGCAGCAGCAAAGTGCAAAGCTGGCGAGCTTCACACCACCCAGCTCAACCTCTCGGCACTGTGAGGAGAGCGTCCCACTACCTGCCGAGACCAGGCAGGCTGAGGACTGGGCAGCATTGCACAGGTAACATTCACTCTCACGTGGTCATGGTATCTCTTCCCCCAGATCCCACCAATGTGAAATAGGTGAGGGCCATGTGCTGGCCACTTCTAGGCGACGGTGCATTTCTTCATTCCTCATGAAGGGTGACACCTCCCCAGCTGCATTTCTTGCCGGTTTTTCTCCCTCATCTCAAATATTTTCCCACCACTCTGGAAGAAGGAAAGAAGGAGGGGGAGAGTCTGAGGGAAGTCCTGCCTTAGTCCTGCCCTGCTGCCCTTTTACCATCCCCTTGCCCCCTCCTCCTGGCCTATCCTGGGGGTTTCCCATCCTATTGCTAAGGAAGCTTTGGATACAAAGCCGGGTCTCCTCCCATGAAGAGGGAATGGGCTTCCCTCTGACTTTGCCCTCATACCCATCATGAGCAACCTGGTTAAGGAGAGCAAGCACAGCAGCAGCAGCCTTGAGGAGGAGGTTAGTGCAGCTGAGTGCCCCCTTGGGGAAGTGAGACTGGGCTTGGTGCCATAGGTTCTTGAGGGCCAGGCTGGGCATTTGACCTCTGCTGCTCAGGGCTCCGGGCAGCCCGTACCACCATCCAGCCCCCCCACCCGCATGGCCTGAGAGGAACGGTGAGGCTCTTCCAGTGAATCATGCCTTGGCACTTGCCCTGGTCCCACCCCCTTCTGCCAGAAACCCTCAGATCTGTCCCACTCCTGCCCAGGCCCCCACAAGCCCCCTTGACGTGAATGATGTAGAGCTGGCCACGCGCACCCAGTAGGCCATAGCCACGCCCACCCAGTAAGCCACACCTACCCTGGTCACACCCACCCGGACCCCCAAGGGCAACCGCAATGCTGATGCGGCCCTCAATGAAATTGAGTTTGACACCCGTGCAGTAGGAGTATGAGAAGCTGGAGAAGTACCAAGATCTGAAGGAGGAACTGGAGAACATGTAGAAAGTAAATGCCAAAATGGCCCCACTGGTGACAGGAGCACCTAGAGCTGTAGATCACATCAAGAACGGCTGTAAGCTGTGGGCATATACTGGTCCAGCATCTGACTTTTTTTAATATAAACAATGCTGCACTTCAATGGTTAAATGGCCTAGACCAGGGGTAGGCAACCTTGGCTCTTTTATGACTCATGGACTTCAACTCCCAGAATTCTGGGAGTTGAAGTCCACAAGTCATAAAAGAGCCGAGGTTGCCTACCCCTGGCCTAGACATTGGTATTTGAACATTTAACTTATTAACATTTATCTTTTATTGACTTCTGCTAATCTAGATGAAATGTTAATATATATTGCTAGTCTATGTTTTATATGCCACACACTAAATAAATAATAATAAGAGAGCTGCAATCCCAGGAACAACTCTCTGTCCAGAGCTCTCTGTCCAGAAGAGTGCAGTGCTAGGAACAGTAAAACACTGCACAGAACCCACAAACTCCCAGGCCTCTGATAGAGGATCTGGGATTGAAGAAGATACATACCAGCCACCTACTTTCTTCCTTCAGGCCCTGTATTTCTCTGGCTTCTCATACACTTTCTTCCTGATGTTGCTGTCACTTGGCACAGCTAAATCTATCACCACCAGATGTTACTGCACACAATGCCAGCTGCTTGGTGGTGCTGTTCAGTACATGCTGTTTCTGCCTGCATCTTACACCCTATCACTATGTGTTGGACTGTCTCTGAGGCATCTCTGCTTCTATGGATCTGGTACTTAGTGGCTGTTCTTATGCTGATTTAATCAGGGTCTCAGTGCTGCCTTTTAATTTTAATTCAACCCTTTCCAATCACTGGTAGGATTTCCCAATTTTTGCCACCTCAATTATCTGTGAATGGTATGTAGTTCTACAAACCTGCTTTAAATGCATCAAGCCATGATCCATTTACCAGTCTCAGCTCTCACTCAAGAAATGAAAATATAGAAGAGTCATTTGCAAAACTTTTTATGAACAAAGAAAAGTTCAATTCTATACATTATCTAAGAGTAAGGCCTACTAAAATCAGTGGAGCTTATTTCCAAGTAGGCATACACGAAAACAAAAGGCAAATTAAGACAGAAGGAATTTCAGAGTAGGTGTATAATTATGATGTAGTATCCAAAATCCCAATAACAAAAATGTCAGAAATCAAGATGAAATTAATACAAGCTATACTTATTCTGTGCTGACTGTATACAGGTCATTCTTGACTTACAACCATTAATTTAGTGACTGTTTGAAGTTACGATGGCATTGAAAAAGTGACTTATGACTGTTCCTCACACTTACAACCATCCCAGGGCCCTTATAGTCAGATGATCAAAATTTGGGCCTTTGACAATTGGCATATTTTTATGATGGGTTGCAGCATTCCAAGACTGCCATTTATCACCTTATCATCTGGCTTCTGATAAGCAATTTCTATTTGGTTTGTATATTTATTGTGTTGTTTTTATGATGTGCACTGCCCAGAGTCAATTGGTATTGATGGCATCTAAATGGAATAAGATGAATAAATAAATTGCATGGGCTTCTACCACTCTATTATCAACAGAGTGTTTACCAGTCCACTGAACTAGGATTCTGATTATTCCTGCAGCCTTGAGCCATTACATAATATTAATAACATTAGCATTTTTATGATACATACCTCAATTAATTCCGAAACTCCTATTGGAGTCACAGTTTCTGGGGCTTCTGGACCACCAGGTTTTGCTGCAACAGAAACTATAGGACATCCATGGAACCTGGTCCATAAAAATAATCCATCTATGAGACCAGTTATATAATAAAGTTACAACTCAGACATTTCCTAGTGTGGTTTACATAGCATCACTATTTTATTAAATTTGAATCTATCTCTAGCAATAATTTAACAAAAACAATAATTTAACTAGTTTCTAAATTATTTTTAAAATAAAAGAGGCATAACTGGAAATAATACAGCTTTGAATGACCCCCAACTACTAAAGATTTGCTTACCTGAGCTCTGAAAGGCTCAGATGAAGCCTTTATATAGAGGCTTTCATATTTCTTGTGGATAGACTAGTAGCCTCCTGTAATACTGGCTCCAAAATAATAGAAGGATAATCTAATTTCCTGTAGCATCTCAGATCGCTTTTTTACTTTCACCAGCATAATTAAGCTATTACCTAGACAAGTTTGTTACTTTCCTATTTTCTTCATGGTGCCGAGGAAATTCAGCTATAGGAACTCAATCACTTCAACATTGAAAGAATGTTCTTAATGCTAAACTAACATTTATTCCAGGCATATTTTGTTAAACAAGCCAGAGTCAAATTACCAATAAGCCAAGTAAATTACAGCTTATCTGATCAATATCTGGCTTACCAGTCATCTTTTAGGCCAATATCATAATGTATCTCAGATGCCCTAGCACACTGGTGGTGAACCTATGGCACACGTGCCAGAGGCGGCACTTGGAGCCGTCTCTGTGGACACACGTGCCATTGTCCCAGCCCCGCCTCCCCCTGTGGCCCCCTCCTCACCAGCAGCCTCCCTGGAGGAGAATTGTCCCCGGGTGCAGCCCACATGGAGCAGCGCAGCCAAGGACATAGCCAGGCAGCAGAGACACGACTCCGCCCTCGTACCCCATAGCGTGCAGATGATGCTGCAGGGTGTGGGTGGAGGGCAAAGGGCGTGGCTGCCATGGTGCTGCAGGGCTGCCTGGGTGATCTGATGAGGGCCATGGAGGCGGTGCGTGTCCCTGCAGGTTGGCGGGGCAAAGGCAGGTGGGGCAGAGCAGGCAGGGTGGGAGGCGGAGTGGGAGGGGCGGTTTTGGGGCACTCGGTCTCTAAAAGGTTTACCATCATTGCCCTAGCAAAAATAAATGATCAGAAAGGCATGGAAGTCACCTCAGAAATCTCTAACATATCCATAGAAGTTATTTTCTGTTTCTATATTGTTTCCTAATAATTGAAGCTTTTTGAGTGAAATATTAGGGAAATAATATTTCCAAAACAGTGCATTATTTTTTTTAAAAAAGAAATACATTTGAGGAATATATGGAAGAATATCAAATGGTGCAAATTTCCCCAACAAAACATCATTTTTAAAAATAGTTTTAACCTAACTACTTAGTTTAAGTATTGCTATTTCTAACAGTAATATATTTAAATTCAGTTTATTCATTTAAAATACATCATTAAGTACATAATACGTAATACATCATTGAGTATTATCAACACTAGGTTAAGTTATTGACTCCTGGACATTATTTAAATTGTACAGAAAAACTGATGTTGGCATTGTTATGATAAGTACTAACAAAGTGCCTTAACAACATGCTCAACAAGAAGTTTACCCGATAAACCAAATCACAAGTACTTTTTATGAGTTGAAAAGAGGAGATGGACAGAGAAAGAAGTCTATTGTCAGGGAGAATTAGCAGAAAAGAAGAAATTCAGACAAAATAAGTGCCTTTTAACCTGAGAAGGGGCCTTCTTTAAGGCACAATATCCTTACACCTCTATGAAATGGATATGGGATTGAAGGGCCCCCTGAAAAGAAATCAGGAAGAATCCAGAATTTCAAGTCAAACACAAGTAGATAAGTAGCTACACCTTTACTTCAAAAGAAAACATTTTGGTAGAGTTTAATAATGACTATTGTTAATGACATTGCAACTGGGAAAGCCATGGCCTGGACTATACGCACTTTTGTTGGCAGGGTGATGTCTCTGCTTTTTAGTATGCTGTCTAGATTTGCCATAGCTTTCCTCCCCAAGAGCAAGCATCTTTTAATTTCTTGTTAAGAATGTCACTACTATTAGTTGAAAAAATGAACCATGCATACAGCTGAATATATTCAAGATTGATCAAAGCCAACATCACTGATATGAAAAACTGAATGGCAACACATGGCATGAAACAGAATGCTGCAGAGGTCAATTCCAAGGTTGCAGCTAATTGAATTGAATTGAAATTATTTTCTAAATCTATCAAAACTGGCATAAACATCTGCCAATCAGAAACATTGTTTTGGGTCATGGAGCAAATTAGGGCACTAAAGTAATAAGGGGGTTAAAACCTTATTGTACCAGTGCCCACATAGAGCCTGTAGTTGAGGCATCTATAATCTCTGTTAGTCTTATAAATGTACATTTCTTCATATCCTACATATTTTCTTTTCCAGCACAGCCATGGTTCTCCTACATCTCTGTTCCTTGGGGTACTATCTGGATGGTAATTGTTACTCACTGGACTTCAAAGGGAACAGATACCATTAGTATAATAAATTCTTCCTCCTCGCATCCCCCATTCCACCCAAAATCTGCTGTGGAATGTTGAAGGATCCTTGGGTAGATCCAAAAATCCATGATTAATACAAAGGATGGAGAATTCTTGCTGCATATGCAACAGAATATAGATAGTCCTTGAACTTACGACTGGTTGCTTTATGACTGTTTGAAATTATGATAGGGCAGAACTAGGTGTCATAAAATCTCATGTGATTGCATTTCAGGTGCTGTGCGAAAAAATATTTTCTTTTCCCTTTTCTAAGTCTTCATCCAATCAACTTCATTTAGATACTTTTGGTTTTAGTATTTTGAGATAAGAAACAATTATCCCTATACACATTCTCCTCACCACAAATAATTTTGTATATTGCAATCATGTCCCCACCCTGCATCATTTTTCTCACACAGGCTGATGCTTTCTCATAAGAAATTTTAGAGCTGCTTAGTCACTTTGGTTGCACTTGTCTATACTTTTTTTTCCAGCTCTCTTTTATCCTTTTTCAAAAATGGTTAGAACTCTACACAACATTTCAGATATACACAGTCCATAAAGGCAACATTATAAAGTTTATTTTCAATTTCTTTTCTAATTATTGTTATCTAGAATTTGCTTTTTCATAGCAGTTCAGTATCTTTGACATACCCATTATAATTCCAAGATATTTTTCCTAGTCAGATAGAAATAGCTCACATGCCAGTAAGAAACCTGAACTAATTTTGTTCTAATTACATCACTTTACATTTATTTAAGCTGAATCGTATGTGTGATATATTTCACTATTCATTTTAAAAAAAGTTCCTTTGGTTTTTTTTCCATCCTGATATCATTTGCAAACTTGGTTAGCTCACTGCATGTTGCAGTCAAGATCATTTATAAATAATTTAAAAAGCACTGATCTTAATTCATATCCTTGAAGAACATTGCTTCTTACTTCACTCCACTGGAAAAATTGCCCATTATTTCTATTCTTTATTTTCTGATTTTTAAACTAGGCAGCCACACAGGTGGTCCTCATTTAACAGCCATTGGTTCAGCAACCATTCAAACTTGCAATGGTGCCAAACAAGTGGTACTTATGACAATCCTCAAAGTTCCAGCCATCACTATGATGCATCTCCATAGTGATTATATCATTGTGATCCAGGTGCTCAACAAGTGGACTGGCTTTCTGAACGTAGCAATGTCTGGTAATTACATGCTCACAATTTGTGACCTTCCCCACCAGCTTTTTACAAGCTAAATCAATGGGGAAGTCGGCAGGAAGTCAGAATTTGCAATCACATGAAGTCCTCAATTAAACAATGGGAATCAGGGACTCCCAAACTGCTGTTGTTATGTGGCATAGTCTTCGGACATTGCACTTTAAGGCAGCATCACTTATTGATAGACATTCCAGTCCTGATTATCACTGTTAAGCAAGAACTAACAGTACACAAATGATTCCTTGATCACAAAATTAATTTAAGTATCTTTCATGAATAACTTCAGTAATAAACTTTAGAAAGTGTAAGTATAGGTCAACCTTCATTTCTATTTCAGTTGACAATCTTTAAAAAAAAAACCTCTAGAATGTAAGGAGAGTTAACCTTTCATCAAGAGTATTTTACCTGATAAAAGCTATCTACTCATTGTAGAAGAGGTGGGGGTGTCAGATACAGCACAAAAAAGGAGTGTCAGAAAGACAACAGGTGTTTTCCCCCTCACTTTTACCTATGTTCCAAACCACAATTGATTCAACTTCTAACAGATTATCTTGGAACAACTATGGCTTTCAACAACAACAAAATGTCTACCACCTTATCTGACTAACACATTCAATTTAAAGTTTTATTCTAAGGAAATATACTCAATTCAAGGAATTTCATCAAAAACTCCTAAGTGGCATAGAAAAAAGGAATGAGAGTAATGCAACTCGTATTATGTAAGCAGGTTGGGTAGGTTACTTACTTAGTATTTTCAAGGGTCTTATGCATTTTCTTCACCATCTTGTCAATGGCAGCTTGTCGCTTACCCTCTGGAAGAAGGTCAATTTTGTTCAAAACCACTATCATCTTTTGGCACGCAATCTGTCCAATCACCAAGCACTCTGCTGATTGAGTCTGCATTCCTTTAGTTATATCTATCACAAGCATCATCAAGTCAATAATCTGAGCACCTGAAAGAAAGTAACAAATTTGTAGGAATCAAAACACCATTAACATGTAATCGTGAATGCAATTGTGAATGTTTCTTCTAACTGTTATAGTTTTATTTAGAAAAATATAGTTTGGAAAAGACTGTATAGGTAACCCTTTGAGGTGTCTGGACATACAATTCTAAAATTAGGACAAATTAATCAAAATAAAAAAGCAAAAGTCAAAACTCTAAAAGTCAAGATTCTAAATTTGACATAAAGATCTAGTCTGCAAAGAAAACATCAGAAGTGCAAGCTTTTTAGAATACCTTACTATATATCAGAATCTATTTTTCTATGATGATGATGATGAGATGATGATGATGATAATAATAATAATAATAAAGTTGGAAGGGACCTTGAAGGTCATCTAGTCCAACCCCCTGCTCAGGCAGGAAACCCTATACCATTTCGGACAAATGGCTGTCCAGTCTCTTCTTAAAAACTTCCAGTTTAAGATCTTAAAGTCCAAACTCAATGGAGGAAATACCATAAAGGCAATTAACACCTGGGCAATCCCAGTCATTAGGTAGACAGCTGGAATAGTGGACTGGACTCAAGCAGAACTAAAAGCAATGGATAGGCAGACCAGAAAAATAATGACAATGAATCATTGCACTTTAAGCCATTGCTTGGCTGCACAAGACCAAGCCTTAAGGACAAATGCATACAAAGTCAAAATTGAGAAGACAGCAAAAGACAGTAAGTGCCGCCTATGCAAAGAAGCTGAAGAAACAGTGGACCACTTGGTAAGCTGTTGCAAGAAGATTGCACAGACTGATTACAAGCAGCGGCATGACAAAGTAGCAACAATGGTGCATTGGAAGATCTGCAAAAAATATCATTTGCCTGTAAGCAAAAACTGGTGGGATCATAAAATAGAGAAAGTCATAGAAAATGATAAAATTAAACTGCTCTGGGACTTCAGAATTCAAACAGACAAGCACCTGCAACATAACACCCCAGACTTAACAATTGTCGATAAGAAAGACAAAAAAGTCTGGATAGTGGATGTGGCAGTGCCTGGAGACAGCAGAATAGAAGAGAAAGAACTGGAGAAGATAACAAAATACAAAGACCTACAAATAGAAATAGAAAGACTGTGGCAAAAGCAAACAAGGGTAGTACCAATAGTAATAGGCTCCTTGGGTGCAATCCCAAAACAACTGGAGCACCACTTGAACACCATTGGCATTGAGAAATTCGCTATTAGTCAATTGCAAAAGGCGGCCTTACTAGGAACTGCTTCCATCCTGCGACGATATCTGTAATACCACCAAATATCCACATCTGCCTATCCCAGGTCCTGGGTAAGGACTCGATAGGTAGACAAAATGCCAAATCCAGTCTGAACATCTGGCTGACTGTGCGATGATCCATAAATAATAAAAAACTTGGAAGGGACCTTGAAGGTCATCTAGTCCAACCCCTTGCTCAGGCAGGAAACCCTATACCATTTCGGACAAATGGCTGTCCAGTCTCTTCTTAAAAACTTCCAGTGTTGGAGCATTCACTGCTTCTGGAGGCAGGTTGTTCCACTGGTTAATTGTTCTAACTGTCAGGAAGTTTTATTAAAACATTTTAATTCATATGGACATATTAGAATTACTTATCAGATTTAACAGACCATCTAGTTTGGATGTAAATATTTTCATAAGTTATGCAAGAAACCTATGCTACTCTGTTCTAAACTCATGTTGTTCTTTCTCTCCTTAGCATGCTATAATTAACTATGAAGTCTTCAATTAACAATAGCTTATTATTATATCCACAATGGAAAATTATAAACAGATTCAAAATAGACCATAATCTTAAATCAATCTGAAACTCAGAAATAGTTAGAAACGACAGTAAATTCAAAAGTTCCTATCATGAGAGCTTTATGAGTTCATTGGGAAAAATCCAACACACAGCACACCAAAAATCCAACTATGATAAATCCAGTTTGGTATTTGTGCCTCATGCAAGAACTCCAAGTCGATTTTTTTGATGATCCATTTGTTATTTTTCTTTTCTATTAAGAATCTTGATTCTCTTCATGTCATGATTTAGATTCTTACTCTGAAGAAGCTGCCCCAGCTGAACCAGTGGAATGTCAGCCTCAGAAGATACCAAGCCAGGCATTTATCTGGAAGCTATTAGGAATCTATCAATCTATCAAGGGAAGTATATCATCTCCCAAAGTACAAAGTGCAAAGATCAAAGACATGACAGAGAGGCTTGGGGCAGAAATCGTCGTGGTGCAGTGGTTAGAATGCAATATTGCAGGCTAACTCTTTGCTCACTGTCAGGAGTTTAATTCTGTCTGGCTCAAGGTGGATTCAGCCTTCCATCCTTCTAAGGTCAGTAAAATGAGGACCCAGATTGTTGGGGGCAATACACTGACTCTGTAAACCACTTAGAGAGAGCTGTAAAAACACTATGAAGTAGTATATAAGTCTAAGCTATTGTTATTATCTAATTAATCAAGCCACTGATTATTATACCTTTGTCCTCTTTCATGCTGGGATGAATAATACAACAAAAAAGAATCTGAAAAAAAAATCAAATGTCTAGGCAGAAAGGCAAAAGATTTAGGAGCACAGGCGGTGCTTTCATCCATACTTCCAAAGTATGGTCAATATCCAATGAAGTAATGGAGGATTTTAGAGATAAACTACTGGTTCAACAGATGTTGCTGTCAAGAAAAATTTGGATTTGTAGACTATGGTCTACACTATCTCCATGTTGGCCTTTGGCAGAGATGGACTCCACCTCACAAGAATTGGGAAGAATGTATTTGGAAGACATCTCACTAGCATCTATTTCTCTGACAAGCTGAGGGACAAAAAGGACAAGTATAAAAATTTCTTCGCATAGCCCAAAACTTCAAGGACAGTCAAAAAAGCTAAGGCTCGCAATTCAAAATCAAATGAGTTAACAATATCAATAACAATATTAATCAAAAAGCATCTAGATTAACAGACTGAAATGTTCCTTCTACATACCAAACAGAAAAGCAATTTTCCATACAACAATTATTCAGAAAATAGAGGTAACTTCTCTTCTTCACCATGGTCCCATGCGTCTGCATCTGCTCCAATGTGAGATTCACTAACCTAGTATATCTACTAAGCCGGAGAGTGAATAGCCACTTTGTGACTGTACACATTCACAAAATTGGATGGCTGTATCACTATGATATTATGCTTGAAGATAATGAGGTGTGGGATAATTTGGCTTTGAACATAAGCAGGGGAACAGAGTGCACAAATGACTTGCACTTCATTCTCTATGCTTCTTTGTTATGTCTGAAATGTAATCTGCACTTTTCGCTCCATACTTACATGTGCAATCTCCCACAGAAAAGGAGCCTGCCCATCTCAGATATCCAAGGCATTCTAAAGAAGCACAGAGACTATGAAATATAAAGTATATGGGCTTCCTGTACTTCTCCTATGCTATTAGAAAAAAATTCAAAATTAGTTTTAATAAAAACAATTAAATCCATATTTCACCCCATAGATTTATTTGGCTGAAAGAACTGAGTCTTATATTTGGTAATTAATAGCTTTTATGATTTTTTTTCTCAGAACAGTTAAGAAAACTGCAAAATCTGATTCCAATTTATATATTAAGTTGGGAAGGATTAATTGGTTCATATTAAAACACTAATCAAATGACCTATCTAGGTCCACAACATATCGAACTTTAGAAGCCGTCAAACACAAAGATTTTGACTTACAACATTGTACTTCACAAGCACTTCCCAATATTCATGCTATATGTCAGTAGTGGCAAACCTATGACACGGGTGCCAGAGGTGGCACTCAGAGCCCTCTCTGTGGGCACATGCGCCATCGCCCCATCCTAGGCCTTCAGCTGGGTTTTATAAAACCTTTTCACTTTAGGCCTCTGCCGCTGTGTGCAAAAGAAAAAAAAGGTTCAATCAATCAGTCAATTTCAACTACTCACGGGAAAAAAAAGATCTTACAAAGTTGGAATTGATTGATTGAACTTTTTAGTCCCACCCAGTCTGCCGTTACCACTGCAGCCATGCCCATCCAATGGGCCACACCCACCCAATTGGCCATATCCAGCCAATGGGCCACACCCAGCCGATGGGCCACACCCACCCGGCACCCGACGATGCATAAGTGGGTTTTGGGTTGCAGTTTGGGCACTCGGTTTCTAAAAGTTCGCCATCGCTGCTATATGTGGTTACTTAAATCAACCTGTGGATCCTGCACTTCCCCAGGTACTCCAACAGAGTTAGCCAGTCTTGTCTTTATAAACTACAGAAAGTTTTCCCCACCCAAATACAACTTTTCTGAATGATCTCTTCCGTCATCCCATGTAGCTCTCTCCTTATTTAAAACAATGTTTGCTCTCAATTTTCTTCATTTTTTAATGTTTTCTGACATTCAACTTAACCCAACTATTAAATGAAACTTATCCCAAACTGAAGGAAAAATAAAAGATGAAATTTGTAAATTAAGGCAAGCAGATTGAAGTGTTATGCATTTACAGACTAGAACTTAATTCTTAGAAGAAGTAACAAAAATTATTTGATTCCGTGACTCTCTTCTTAGCCTGTAATACCTGTTTATATTTTGTCTTGAAGAGCAGGAGATCCTGGGTTGAATAAGAACGAGGATCTTTTTTTATATTCCTTGAAGCAAGAAAGCAGTTGTTTCTTGGCTGCATGGCATTTGCTATCAAGCCAAGGATGGTTAAAAGAGGATTCCTGTTAACACCAGATGGACAAGTAGAGAGAATTGGCTGAAGAAGCCGAACAAGTTGAGGATTCCAAAGGCACCGATAAGGACAGAGTCATCCATAACAAACTTAGCCTCATTTGTTTAATTGTCATTCTTCTATGTTCTGGCTTAGTTAAAGACAAACAGGGAGTGAAGATACTATTATTAATAACAGGGTTAACATTTGGCAATCTGTGGGTATCAAAGACAGCAGAGCTGAGCAAAGGAGTTACCCTTCTATAA